AAAATCTAGAAATCAGAAGCAGCAAATTCCTCCCTTCAATAAATGCCTTACTTATCTACCTTCTCCTACTGGTGCCAGTCCCTACATCACTCTAGCATTCCTCAGAAAGGAGGTGCGGGGTGGCAGGAGAACTGGTTACTGGAGAAAGATGCAAGATGGATGAGAAGAGTGGTGTGCAATTGGAGGAGTGAGAAAAGTAAAAGACACTGCTTTGGGCATGTCATTAAATCGGCCTTTAGTCTTGGTACATGTTACTGGTAACAAAAATGTACAGAGCTTCATTTAAATGGGGCCTTTTTATATTTTCCTTCATTTATCACTAACAACACAAAGTCAATGGCTTAGTCTTATCTTAATCCATTTCACTGATTTATTATTAGCCCATTTTCTTACTCTCTTCCATCTTCCCCTCTTTCATTTATTCAATTATTTTTAGGTTTCAACTTTGAGCCTGCAACCATGCCAGGTGAAAGGGCGAGGGCTAGGCCCTCCATCTTGCCCCAGGGTAAGGGCTACGCCCTCCATCTTACCTTGGCCATGTGCTGGCAAGGCTTCTTCCCGGAAGCCCAAGCCTCTGCTAGCCACACCCAGGACTTCTTTAAACTAACCAATGACAATCAAGGGAAGTCGCCATAGATATGACCACATCCTGTGTAACAAGACACCGACTTGCGCCTGGCCAATCGGCAAGGCCCACAGCCCTTTCTCCTCCCCTTACTCCAACCCCCTATAAAACCCCTCTCCACACAGAGTTCTCTCTCTCTGCCACTTGGCTTGCCGCTGCATCGGTGAGTGTGGATGGGGAGCCGAGCTAGCTCGAATAAAGACTCTTATCCTTTTGCATCGGACCTGGCTAGCTCCCTGGTGTGGTTTCTTGGGGATCCTGAAATCTGGGCATAACACCAGGCACTGAAGATGCAAAGGCGACCAAGACAGGCATTTCTTACTCTCACAGTTTAAAGTCAAATAGGGAGAGAACTGACAGTTACAACAGGGGTTGTGAGGGGTATGGGAGCCAAGTATTAGGTGGACTACCTAACCCAATATTAGGAGTTCATTAAAGTATTTCTTAAAAAGCTTAGAGTCCTGTAGGATAAGAGGCAGCTGGGGGTTCCAACACAAAATTTCTCTGTTAGACATGCTACAACCTATATAACCTCACCACAAGTATTAATATTCAATGGTGCCATATTGTAGAGTTGCTCATTTGCTTTTGCTCATTTATTTTTAACCTTGGTTTAATTTTTAATTGAAAAATTGAGGTATATGATAAGGTTTCATCATCAAAAGTTCTGAAGAATGCATTCCTCTTCATTGGTATTTAACTAGTTCCATGGACATGTTTATAGAACTTACAGGTGTCAGCTCAGCCTGTTCTTCTGTGAAGTCAATATGAGGCTTGGCCGGCTTGCTGGGACATCTCAGAGAAATAGCATGCTGTGAAAATGCAGGAAGGAAGAAAATGATAGGTAAAGGAGGTGGAAAAGGGCAGTTCTCATTATCATGCAGGAAGAGAAAAGATCACTGAAATAAAATGCCAATGAAAAGTTGCATGCATCTTTCATTATATCATGCAAAAATAAAAAAAGGTAAGAACCAGATGATCCTAACCTTTGATAATTTAAGGATAACCTCACTCTACTTCTGGAAAGTAGAGCTCTAAGGGAGAGTTATGGAGAAACACTGTGTCCATTACCAATTCATGCTCTGACCTCAATTGGGCCTTGACTGCTGTTTGTCAGCATTCTGTCTTTCCTCCTCACTCAAAGCTTGTTCTAAATAGTTACAAAGTTCTTCAAGCTTCTAATTTTACCCTTCCACCTCTTCACATGACCTCAATTCCCTCCGTAACTAAGCAAATCACATCCATCTACCACATCCATCTATCTTCACCACTACAATGCATCCTATAGCTACACCCATATTCTCATTCTCTTCAGTTCTATATGAATATGCTTTCCCCTCTCCAAAGCTAAGCATGTTCTAGATCCCACTCATGCCCCCCCTCTCTAATAGCTCAGCCTCTAATACTCAACTAGTCCAGCTTATTGGTGGCAGGAAGGACAAAAAATAATCAAGTCTTCTGGGTTCCCTCCTCCTCTTAAACTCTATTTTCCTTTTCACTGCCAAATTTCCTGAACTCAGCTATAGTGTATCTCCTCCACTTATCCTTCAATCCCCTACCATCTAGCATACATCTTTCTTTTCCAAAGTCTTTATCCCGTGTGTTGTAATGCAGTCTATAATTCATTTTCAAAGTCATCAATGACCTTTTAACCAAGGTGGAACACTGTCTTTCCTATCACAGTATTCACCACATTGACTGAAATTGCTTGTTTGGTTGTCTGTATTGACACCCATCTCCTCACATAATACATTATAATCTCAAAAAGACATTGTGTATTAAGTTCACAGTTTTTTCGTTTGTTTTTCTTCCAGTTTTTAAAAGGAAGATTCATTTAACAAGTTTCACTTAGTACAATATATCTAATGGAAATCACAATACAAGGAAAGATTTAAATCAAAGCTTCAGAATTTTATACAAATGACATGACCCAACTCCTAAAGTATCAATTAGTATTACATCTCAAAATTGTCCCAGATCTTAATAAAAATAAGTGTACACTCACGTGCCTTATAGGATAGTAAACCAAAAAGCTAGAATTAACAAACATGCCAAATGTTTTCACTTTGAATTATAGACGCAGAGCTCCTATATTTGAGTTTTACAGAAAAGCATATTTCTCAACACACATCCAAAGTTTTCAATGTCTTGTGGTATAAGAGCAACATTTAACATAAGAGAATTGCTTTAACCTAAATATGCTTACTGCTTAGGTACACTCCTACAACATAAACTAACTTGAGGAAAGATGAAAATTGTTTTAACAGTTACGGTCAATACTGAATATTTCAGTGTTCAAAATTACTGAGCTTGAAAACAATTCTGACTCCCATTTTACAGTAAGCATAAATCACAAGCCTGTAATGCAAAAGTATTAAACGTAACCTTTGTTTTCTTTAAAAAAAAGAGAAAGAGAAAGAAAGAAAAGTTGACCTAGAGTAATCAGAATCTATTTCCCATTTACCATATTGGATATGCTAGACAGCCCTCCCATTCTATTCAACTCCCATAAATGCACAGCTTTCGTTTCTGTAGTAGCTGTTTAATGCTCCTTCTCTACCTAGGTAAGGTTTGACTGATAGTCACTTGAGTTTTCCTGCAGAACTTGGTCATATCCACTCATACTGCTCTGACTACCATAACCACCTCCATAACCACCACTCAGCTGCTGGCTAGCAGGACCCCCATAGCTAGACTGGTTGGATAAGCCCATCCCTCCCATCATTTGGCTACCATAAGCACCGCTACTTGCCCCTGCTGTAGAATTCAAAAAGAGTTCTACATAGCTGTGATCATAAGCGCCCCCACTTGTTCCTGCAGTAAAATTCAAGAAGAGCTCCACATATCTGTGTTGCATATTAGCCTTGTCTTTTGCCATAGCTGCCCACAGCATCTTCATGAGTAGCAAATTCAACATCTGCCTCCCCAGTAACTCTGCCATAGGGTCCAATTTCAATGTGTACTCTCATGGGGTTAAGAGGTGAGAAAAAATTGTAAATATCATTCTCAGTGGCAATGTAAGGTAATCCCCTCATGTGTACACAGTGCCCTGTGGTGCTCTGGAAACTGGACCCACCATCTCCGTATCTATGATCAGACATTCCTGAAAAACAGTAATTGAGGTCTCTTCCAAATCTATCAGACCCAAAGCCATACCCATCATTATAGCCACCATGATCATCATAGCCTCCATAACCTCCACCATAGGCACCCCGCCTCATCCTTTCAAACCCAGCCCCTTTGCCAATGCTATTATAACCTCTGCCAGTCCCTGGCCTATCATAGGGACCAGGTCGCTGCATAGCCATGAGCTTTCGAGGGGGGTCATAATGGGTTCGGACTTCAGCTCGGCTACTCTTAAAGATTTCAATGTACCTGTGCCCTATTCTTTCCTTGTGCTTCTTTAAGGCCTTTTCAGCTATCTCCTGTGAAGCAAATTGCACAAAGGCCTCCCCTGTGCTCCGCCCCTGAAAGTCCACAGGCAGTGTCATCCCATTTGGCATAATTTCCAACCCTGAAAAAAACTTAACAATCTCCTCCTTGCTACAGCCAAATGGGAGTCCTCTAAGGCGGACGAAGCCATCATTGGCAGTATCAGGACTATTCGGACCTGTATGCTTCAACATCCAGTCCATTTCAACACTGTTGGACTTGAATACTTCAACATATCTGTGTCCCATGGTTTCTCTGTCCTTCTTCAAAGCCAATTTCACTTCATCTTCAGATTCAAGTTCGACAAATGCTTCACCACTTGGTCTGCCTTCTCTGGTGCAGATGAAACGGATACCTGATGTGCCATTTTGGATTTTGCAATCAGAGAAGAAGCGCATCACTTCATCAGCAGAGCAGGACCAGGGTAGGCCCCTGACCTTCACCACGAAACCCTCCCTGCCTTCCGTGCTCAGCATCATGGTGACTGTTAGGCTCTTGGTGGCAAGCTCGGATCAATGCAACTTCAGTGTAGCTCTAACGATGCCGGACGATGTTCCTCCTGCCCTCAAACGGTTATAGCCAAGTTCACAGTTTTATCTCTTACAGCACAGTGCAGTGTCTACATGCTCATTAATGGAATATATGAATAACTATTTCTTTTTGGTCTTCATGCCACATGCTTGGCCAGATCAAGATTTTTTTTGCTTTCCTCCCTCTACATTTTCTCATTAAACATATTCTATAGCACGTTGTCAATCACTGCGTCAACAGGAGGCCTATCAAATCTATACTGCCAACATCCTCATTCTTAGGAAACAAAGACTGACATTAAGGGCTAAAGGGGCATGATAAATGCAATGAACTCTCAAATAGTTCAGAAAAAAAGTGTACATAAAAAACCCAACAAAGTAAATATGGCAAAATGTTAAAAATGAGTGAATCTGAGCAATGAGTTTCCTGAGTTCTTTGTACTAATCCTTTCACATTTTTGTAAGTTTGACATTATTTCAAAATAAAAAGTTTTAAAAAATCTATACTCTCTAGACTCTCACACAAGCTCACGCCATATTTCTAAATGGTTATTGATTAATTTAGTTTAAAATCTAAATCTAAAGTATTCAAAAAGAGATGATTGCCTATGCACCATGTTAAACAATATGATGGCACATTATAGTCATTGAAATTCAACAAGTCCTTATCAAAAGTGAATATATGTATGCAAAGTGACAAAAAAAGAATAGAAAACAGGACATGCAAACAAAGATTACATGTTGTTACATCAACAAAGCTGAAAAAGGGATTATGTAATGATATAAACTATTTCATGTTAATTAGGGTCCATTTCCACAAAATATTTACTTTCCTACAAAAAATTATCTCCCCCAATCCAATTTTTACTTACTCTTCATCATTACTTTAAATCTAAAAGCTGGGCTCAAAACACATAATAAAAAATGAAATTTGAGGATTGATTCTTCACATAAATTTTGCTCTAAACATTCCCAATCTCGTAACTTCCATTTGTTATAAAACTATCAAATTCTTCATCAATCTCTTAAAAATTCTCCACAAAGATCTGCAAAGTAAGTTTTGGATCACTACTTTTTTGAACTGATCTATAACATGTTAGAATGTAGTAGCATTTATGAGCCAGAATCTTGGGCAGGGGGTTTGTACTAGTATATAGAAAAGCATTGATCTGAACATAGAAGCCAAAACATAAATCAAGACATGGCCTTGTACCAAAGTCATACAGTCCTCAGGTTACGTTGGACTCAACTTACGTTGTTTCGTGGTTACGTCACCATCTCCCATTTATTTATATAAAAAAAAGTTCCGTCCATTTCAAGGTATGTATATATGTGCTTTATGTTTTTTATTATTTATTTACCACAAGTAAAGGTCAGGAATTGTTATCTTTCTTTTAAATTTCTTCTACTATTTCACTTCATTACTGTTGTGTATGTGTTCCCTGTGAGTGACTTAGGTGCTTATGTAGGTGGGTTCCGACTTATGTAGCGCCTGTAGGATAACCGGAGGACCTACTGTACTTACAACACAAGACACTTCCTTTTGATAGCTAACACCTTAGATTATAACTGGAAGAAAGAATAGAGGTTTGTGACCACACATTAGTGTTTCAATAGAGCATATTTACATTCCTTTTATTGACATATGTATGTGCTTTTCACAAATTTTTTTTAAAGCATAGTATAATGGTTAAGAATGTGGACCCTGGGGCTGGAGGCTTGAGTTCTAGCCCCAGGTCAGCTATTTATCGGCAATGTCACTCTTATTTAACCTGTTTCCTCATGTGTAAAATGGGGGTATAATAGCATTTATCTCCAAAAGTTGCTAGAAATAGAATTCTATTAGAATT